TATATATATATATATATATATATATATATATATATATATATATATATGGTTTATTCTTCCTAATAACATAAAAAATAATTAATATATACAAACATTATCAATAAATCAAAAATGTTCACTTAATATTGATGATACACACATTTTAGGATATTTGCACATATTAGAAATATTTTTCTTTGTGTTGAAAACATGATTTCTACAACCCAGCTGCCTCATTTAGGAAATAAAATAGAGAAGCTAAAGGACTAAAAGGTGTACAGCACAGAAAAGCTGAAGGTCTGTGCCAAAAACATTCAGGTTTTTAATTATAAGATTTAAAATGTAAATAATGTATGAATATGAGGATGTCTGTCAGCCTTTTAAACTGCTCTGCACATGCTCACTTTTAACCATAAGTGTTTCATGCCTCCAACATGTTAATGCACAGAGCTATCTAGACAGTTCATAACCTTTCCACAGAACCCCACTTCAAAATCCTCTTAAAATCAATCAATCAACCTTTATTTATACAGGTAAATCCCATTGAGCCTCGAGGACTCATTTACAAGAGAGACCTGATTTCAACAAAGAAAGATGACAACAATGGACAACAGCAACAACAATAAGCAGTTATAAAAACTCATACTACAGTTTTTTTTTTTTTTTTTTTTTTTTTTTTTTTTTTTTTTTTTTTTTTTAACAAATAGGATGGCTAAAAGGAAAAAGGTAACAAAACCAAAAAAACTGCTAGATTCCGAGACAAATGTATAAAACTAAAAACAGGAACATGTCTGCATTGGTCCCTGCCAGGAGTCCAACAGATTCTTAAAGCCACTTAGAGAGGTCAAGGTCGAGAGCTTCAAATCTTTTTGTAAGATATTCCAGGAAACAGGAGCGGAGTAGGAGAAGGCCCTTTTGCCTAGTTCAGTCCTCACTGAGGGAACACTGCAGGTAATAATGTCCTGAGAGCGCACTCCGTAGCTGCACTCACGCAGAGACATGTAGGAGGAGATGTATGAAGGCAGCAGACCAAGAAGTGATTTAAAGATGAAAATGTACCAGTGAGAGAGTCTGCGTGAAGTTAATGATGTCCAGTTAACCAATGAATACAGGGTGCAGTGGTGGGTACGATAATCACAGCCAGTTATGAATCTTAGTGCACCATGATAGACAGCATCCAACATCTGCAGGGTTCTTGTAGGAGCGTTCATGTAAATAATGTCACCAAAATCAATTGAGGGAAGGAAAGTCACAGATACAAGGCGTTTTCTAGCATTCAGGGTTAGACAGGATCTGTTTCTGAAAAAGAAACCCAGTTTAATTTTCAGTTTCTTTACCAAGTTTTCCACATGGAGCTTAAAAGAAAGATGTGAGTCGACCAAGATACCCAAATATTTATAGGAATCAACAAACTCAATGGGGACACCATTTGAGGATAAAATCGGAGGAAGAACTGCTGGGACCAACTTCCTATTTGAAAAAAGCATCCCTTTGGTTTTTTCGGCATTTAGGACAAGTTTGAGGTGAAACAAATCAGTCTGGATGTAGTTAAATGCAGATTTCAGAAGCTGGAAAGCCTTAGCAACTGTTTTAGCTCGAATGTAGGAGGAAATCATATAAGCAAACAAAGGGATTTATTATATAACTTTATGTAATATGGGCTTTCGAGTTTTTATAAACCAGAAAACATTTGATAAATAAGGACACAGATTGTAGTGAGTAGTTGTTCAGAAAGGTGCTGTACAAGTAGTCCATTTATTTATCTTGGGATCACTTAGAAACAAACTAGTGGACTGCAGTAGTTAGTCAGTGCTGCAGTCTCGTAATCCTGAGGGTGCAGATCTGAGAGCAGGTTGCATCAGGAAGCACATCCGGCACAACACTACCAACATTTCTGATATGACTCACTTGCTGTGGAAACTTCTGCGGAAAGAAGCAGATAAAATAACAGCAACTCGAGAACAAGCTAGACAACCATCCACACTCGCTTAGGTGTGTGTGTGTGACAACAAACTAGCTATGCAGATGAGAAAATTGGAAAAGTCTGAACAATTGTCATAAATAAAAAAATGTTACAACTTGGTCATAAATTCACCGCATTAGAAGATTATATTAAAAAGCCTCAATGCCTTTTTGACCAACTTCTTTTTTTTAAATGCTGAAATTAAATTTCAAAAAAAGATTTCAGTAAAAGAGACTGCTGAAAGAGACCAACAAGCACATTCACTTTTCAAAGAGCTTTTTTTAATAATTCTGAATGTTACTCCTGATATATGACAATAAAAATGAACCTTTTTTTTTTTTTTTCTTCTCTTTAGGGCACGGATGCTGTTGATAAATTGTCGATTATGAAATGTCTTTTGCTTTTCTTGGATATTTTGTATTCCATGAAGTACTATGAATGCTGTTTGTATGTATTCATTTCTTGTATGTTTCCACCTTTTCCTCACGTTGGTACAGGACTTGTTTCACTGTAGATAATGGAACTCGTACTAGCTTCTGCAGCATCTCCACCAGGTCTTTTGTTTTGGGGTTGATGCACACTTCATTCTAAAACCTCCATCTTGGGAACACTGAACTTGTCTCCTTCCTCGGCAGTAAGACGACAGGACATTTTCATGGTGTTTATACTTGCATAGAATTGTTTGAACAGACATGCTGTATCTTCAGGCACCTAAACATTGTACTTGAGGATAAAGCAGAGTTGTGGAGGTAGACCAATCCTTTCCTGACCTCTTGGCTGATTTCTTTTGTTTTTCACAGATGTCATACAGCGGTGTGTTTGAGGTGTCCTTTAAGTAACTTTAACATTGTCAACTTTTCTTTCAAATACATTTCAAAGCCATAACATTATAATCTGTGCTTTCTAACGAGCTTAAAGGCATACTGGTTAGTTTACTTAGTGTATTAGTGTATGGAAACACAATTTTAAAGAAAGAAACTACATTTATATCAAAAATCTCATTTAGGCATTTAGTAAGTAAAACATTTTTCATTCAATTTTTTCTGATTTTATCACAGACAGGAAAACAATGCTAATTTTTATACAGTGCATATAAAAAAAAACAATTTGAACTGTACGACTGATTAACTCTTGGACATAAATCAATTAAAGATGGCTGCCACAGCCAACTGACTTGGAACTGGAACAGACACAGAACAGCTTGAACTGTCAGTTTTACAGACTGTGCTACAATTTGATGTGGTAGTAGCTTAGACTGATTCCCGACGTATACTCTGAGCACTAAATGAGTGTGCAAGATCTTTGTTTAAAAATTTGACATTTACTATTGAATTCATCTTTATCCAAATCTCATGAAGTACTAAAGGGTTTTTAGTAACACTTTCAAAAAGTACTTATTTTAGTTGATCTATAACTGATTCGCTTTTGGAGTCGGTCCAGTTCAAGTTAGATACCACAGCCAAACTTAGCCAGCACAAAAAAATGTTTAACAGAAAAATGTACAGATATAAATCTAGAATTGAATGTTGTCGTAGCTGAGAGTCATTTACAAGATATGCAGAAGAATTAATATTGTTTTTGTCACACATGGCATTTTGAATGATTTGATCAAAAAAGCTATGATCTTGTCATTTAACATAAGATGACCTTAGTTTAAAACTCAGGCATAAAAGTGGCATTTAACATGCATTCCTTCTAGGAATACTTTGATGTTTAGTATGAAATTCATCTAAAGTTTCTATTTTTTTACCATTAGGAAGCTGATGAAACTGTTGGTAATATATTGATTTTATTGCCAGTAAATTTAAATAAGAGTAACTGAAACTTAACAGAAGAGAAATGTGACAGCTTTAAAGAAAATGTTTTATAATTTCACATTAAACACAACAAATTTCCAATAAATACATCCTTTTTCTCCTTAGCTACAAAATAAAGCTTTGTCCTGAAAATCCAAAGGTGTAAATTTGACATGGGAAGTGAAGGTGACAGAGCATACACAAGGGTGTTTAACAGAGAAAAATGACATACATTAAATGTTCCTGGTCCTCCTAGCTTCCCTACACTTTTATGTTTTGACCAGCTTTGAATACAAGCCCTTGTGTTTCACCTTGTACTACATGCTGTATGTGAATTGGGTAGCAGGAGAAAGCGGTTATGAGTCATCCAGTTTAAGCTGTCAAACATTCCAGGATCTCTATCCATTTGATAACTCATGTTAAAAATGGGTAAAAATATACAAACAAAAACCAGTATAGTTTAAAAATACCAGAGCTAAGAGCCACTTGTTGGCATCCATCACACAAAGGTTCAGGTATCTCACTGGGCTGTGGCAGATTGAGACTAACTGGCGACTCAAAATTGCCATCTCTCCCCATCAGCTTTCTCAGTCACCCTTACATTTATGATGTAATCTGTTTGTTCATTTCTAAAGTATACTCAAACAGACTTGGACCAGTTTTTAAAAATTAAGTATCAGCACGGATTTTAGACCTGGACATGTTTTCTGTCCAGAGAGCATTTTCTTGTGTCAAAATACAGCTCTAGTACTCTTGAGATGGGCTGGAAATGCCCACAAAAATTTCACATGGGTTTAAGACATATGCACTGACTCTGACTGTTTTCAGTGCAACTCTATCTCGCAAATTATTTAAACACATTTAAAACTCAATCAATAGGACCGTGAGCCTCTGCAAATCATGTGAGGGAACCACTGAATATTGTCAGTCTTTCTAGGGACTCCCTCTTAAATGTCTGTTGCCAATTAGTTGCAGCCCAATAGGTTACTACCCTTAGTAACCATAGCCCTGGCGATAGCTATCCTGGTAACCATGTTCATACCCATGTTGATGGTAGCCATAGCCACCATACTCATCTTCAGGACAGCGCATGCCGAGTGACTGCTGGATTGCCATCTCCTGCCTACGCAGTTGCATTGAGTCCACCAGGTCATAGATGGTGGCCATGGACCACATGGGCGAAGGGTACCAGGACTTGACATTGCCATCCTTCCCTACCAGCAGCATGGAGAAGTATTCTGGGCTGACTTGGAAGTAGTTCCTCATGTCCTTCACCAAAGTGGCTGAAAGGCCTTCACGCTCCACAGTAGCACTGCCTGGATGGAGCAGAGGTTTGAATTAGTGCGGGAGCATTTCAGGAGGACAGTTTATTTTCACAACAGACAGCACACACGTGCTTTGCGTTTTACACTTGTTTGATATTTACCTCCTCATTTTGGACTCCAAAATGTAAAGCCTTAATCTATTGGCAACATCTTGAGATTCTAGTCTTGCATAAGTCTGACTCACATTTCCCAGAAAAGAAACTATTTTCTAAAAAAAAAACAAAATTTGACCAAGAACCAAAAAAGAAAGATCCCACTGGCCATATTTACTGGAAGCAGGATGCAGAAATATTCTATGTGGGTTTCTGGTTTTGAATACGCTTTGCTGATGTGAGACCGAAGATCTCTTATTTTAGTGAACTGTAGAACGATATCAACATCAAACAAGATAAACAGTCTAAAGTCTTTTTGGATTTTTCTACCTGGATTATTGAGCATGCATCAGGATAGTCTAAAGTCTTCTAAATGAGCTCATTGTTTTACAGCCCAAACAGAGTAGCACAAGATTCCAGTCATGTATATGGTGTTGAGTGATTGACAGATGTTAGGCCAAAACTACATTTGCTTTTCATTTGGGCCAATTCTGTTCAGCACAAAGCACAAAGCCTATGGCTTCCACTTACGAGCAAACACATGTAATGTGACATCCTCTGCTTGTGTTTACGAACTATGGATTATCATGTGGAATACTGATGGGCAGATGATGCGCATTAGCATAAATTTGGTATTTTATTTATTAGGGGTGCACCAATTTATCGGCCCCGATTTCCTTAATTTTGGGAAATCAGAAATTGGCCGATGCATGAGAAACCGATGTTACTGATTTTTTTAGTTTTAACAATAATTGTCTGAACTTCTTTTATATTTCAGAGCACTACCTCGTGACCAGTTAAAACAAGTTTGCATTGTTTCTAGGATATTGTTCAAGGGTCTGTTTTTCAATAAAATAAGGTTGGGAAGTTGAAGGTGCATTGTGACCTTATAACTCCTGACAGTGTCGCTTATAAAACAAAATCGGTATCGGCCAAAATCAGAATCGGCAGGTCAGACTTTTTAGAGATTGGTGATAAGCCAGAAAAATGCAATCGGTGCACCCCTAATATTTATCTTTTTTAACTGTTTTTTAGGAAGCCAGGAAAGTGCAGTGAACAGTGGAGGATGCTTGAGTGGAGTGCTACGTCTGTAGCATCTTATCTTAGTAACTGTGACGCTGTAAGACGCTGCAGATGTAAGACGCTGTGTGTTCAGGTGCATAAATGTTGAAATGTCTTTAAAACCCCACACCTTATTGTCCTCAAGCTTCATGAGAAGCATCCTTTAGATGAGTAGTGTTGAACACAAGTAAAAAAGTCTAGTGGTGATGTTTTTTATTTCTCTATAAACACAAGTAGTGCCGATCAAAATGTCTTTAAAACAGCTGAATTTACACAAACTTGGTAAGAAACATGCTTTAAATTGAATTAAAGTACAGAAATCTAGATGAAATGTTGCTTTTGTGCAAACTAGAGTACAATTTTTTGTGCACACACACACACACACACATTACAGATGCTTCTGACGCCCATGGGTGTGTGCCTCTTTTTAAATAAGGTATACACTTCTCAACACACTTCTTGTTTTGCTTCAAAGTATCACTTGTCATTTCTGTAGGTATTCAGCTGTTTCAATTTGATTGTGTCAAGAGGTTTAGTTGTGATATTTACGGTAACATTTTTAACATAGTTAGCACTGTAGTGTCCACTTTGAAAAGGAACAGTCACACAGATAAATACACCTTCCCACTCGTTCACTCCTTTTTGTTTGCTGTAAAAAATACTCACAAATTGACCTCTTAACCTCAGATGAAGTCAAAAGTTTCCATTGGTTATTTGGAAACAGCAGAAAGCGAACAAGAGAACAGATCTATGCATCTCTAATAAACAACTAAAGCCTGACAGAGTGCGGGTGTTAAACTAATACACTGAAAAGAAAATATCTTACCTTAATCTTATTTAATCATAAAATGGAGTTGACTAAGCTTTTTATTTCAGCTTACAAAGACTAATACAAAAGCTTACATACACTAATCTTTTTCTTGTTTCGGCTTTTCTCTTGTTAGGAGTTGCCACTTTGAGCCATCTCCTCCACCTCACTCTGTCCCCAACAACCACTGTCCTCTAAATGCATCCATTTATCTCCTCTTTGTCTTTTTCCTGACAGCTGCATTTCTAACATCCTTCTACCAATATACCCACTGTCCCTCCTCTGGACATGTCCAAACCATCTCAGTCTGGCCTCTAACTTTATCTCCCAGTTCAACCTGTGCTGTACCTCTGATGATCTCATTCCTAATCTTATCCATCCTTGTCACTCCTAAGGAGAACCTTAACGTCTTCATTTCTGCTACTTCCAGCTCTTTCTCCTGTCTTTCTGTCCATGTCTCTGTCTCCAGACCATACAACATAACTGGTCTCACCACTGTCTTGTAAACTTTTCCTTTGACCTTTGCTGACACTCTTTTGTCACAAATCACTCCTGAAACTTTTCAGGAGTGATTTTTTCTGCTCAATCCGACTCGGACTCTTCTTCGCCTCCTTACTACACTCACAATTTTCCAGGACAACTGACACTAAATACTGACTGTTTTCTATGTGAAATCATTTTAATGAAGCCATGAAAAGCTTTAATTTCTTTATTCCATTATTACCTTCCTTACCCCCCCCCCCCCCTCTGACCACACACACACACACACACATTTTCATGGAGTATTCCTCACCCCCAAGAGACTGTGAGGAAATGAAGAGTCAACATGATCCTCTGGCTTTCCTAGATCAATCAGTTTTACTAATGGTGTTAGACTAATCACTAATACTTGGTGTGGCACTAATTTCTTGGAAGAAAGTACCGTATATGAATCCAAAAAAGTTCAATCTGGTCCTCTGGACATTAAAAAAAAACAAAAAACAAAACAAAGCAAAAAAATGTAGAAACGTTTCATCTTTCATCCGAGAGACTTCCTCAGTCTGAGATGCTGTATTCAGCTCAGTCTCTTAAATAGCACCTTCTCAGAGTGGATCAACCAGTTTTGCTGCTGACAACCAAAACCAGCTGATCACATGCTCAAGAAGGACCATCAGCCTAACAATGGATCATTAGCACACTGATGGCAGTTTACTGTTCACAGAGGGCTGAGTGATACTAGCAATCACAGCATTGTAAGAGGGGGACAGTTGAACCCGGAGGCCTCCACCCCTGTTTAATGATGGATGATTTCTTTTCACAAAGATGGCCTCCTTTACTCCTCTCTCAAACCATCGTTCCTCTCTGTCCAGGATGTGAACATCTTCATCCTTGAAAGAGTGACCGCTGGCCTGGAGATGAGTGTAGACCGCAGAGTCCTGGCCTGAAGATGTTGATCTTCTGTGCTGGGCCATCCTTTTGGCCAGTGGCTGTTTAGTTTCCCCGATGTAAGACTGATCACAGCCCTCCTGACACTGAACAGCATACACAACATTACTCTGTTTGTGCCGGGGGACATTTCTATATTTTTTTGCATTTTTTTTTTTTTTTTGAATGTCCAGAGGACCAGATTGAACTTTTTGGGATTTTTCTACCTGGATTATTGAGCATGCATCAGGATACCGTATATGAATGTTTCTTTAAAGTTTTGATGTAAATAATATTTTTACAGTACAGTAGAATGATGAATAAAAAATTTTAAAATCATAGGCAGCAATGATTCAATTCAATTTAGAGGGGAGTGGTGGCGCAGAGGTTAGAGAGGTGGGCCTGTGATCCGAAGATCGCCGGTTCACGCCCCGGCCCCGACAACATCAAAATTGTGGGTGGGGTAGGTGAAACACTCACACTTGCCCCCACCCTCATTCGCCCCACTCTGGGCCCATGAGCAAGGCCCTTAACCCCCACCATGTGCTCCCTAAACAGGTCTCTCTTGAAAATGAGTTCCCGTGGCTCAATGAGACTACCTGGATAAATAAAGGCTAAATGAAAAAAAAAAATTCAATTCAATTTAGTTTATTTATAAAGTGCCACATCACAACAGAAGTCATCTCAGGGCACTGAACAGAAACATTCACATACAAATAATAATTACGGTATTAATAATAATCCTGTATCCTAATGCATGCTCAATAATCCAGGTAGAAAAATCTAAAAAAAAATTAAGTCAGGTCCTCTGGACGGGTTCAAAAAACAAAGAAAACCGTAGAAACATTTCATCTTTCATTCAATCATTCATTAATTTCATTCATAATTCATCTACCAGCTCCTCAGACTGAAGAAGTCTTCTGGATGAAAAATGAAACGTTTCGACAATTTTTTTGTTTTTTGAACTCATCCAGAAGACCTGCCTTTTTTAGAATAAAGATCCTGCTTAACGTTGATCGTTTCTGTGAGATAACTGCACACGACAGCATATCAATAGTTCATACTATTAATAATAATAATAGTTCATGTCAGCACACGAGGAAAAACGTTACGATGTGGGCTTACTTTGCATCCACAGGTCCTCCACACCTTGTATTCAGTGAGTTAATCATGAACTCTGAAAGTAGTCTAGAGTTAAATGTGAGGTCATGTGTCTGACTTAACCTCCTGAGACCCGAGCTCTGGTTTGCGATGCATTTTTCATATCTCCTAGATATTTGTGATTAGATGGACCTGATTTGTGTATAAATAAAGCTTCCTCTTCCAACAGGAAGTTGTATTTTGTTACATGGTTATGACATACTTTTGTTAAAAAAAAAAGTCTTCGATGGGGACAATGGGCTTATTTTACAGCATACCACAACAACATTAACATGGCTTAACAAAGTATAAAACACTATTGAACAGAGTGAAGTATAAGGTACAGCAAAGCCAAAATGTAACGTCCCCACATGTGGATGCAGGGTCTCAGGAGGTTCATGATGCTTGACTTAAACTGAGTCATGCAACAAAACAATGATCCCAAACAGCAACAAATCTACACTCCCCCAGTATATAGCGTCTTTTTTGAGATCTCCAAGTTTTGGAAAGCACGTTTAAATGTTTTTCATTCACTAGTGGCTTTTACTGTATTTACACTGTGTTTTCATGGCTTTTATACGTTCACTCACACACTGAAAGGCATGTTTGGAGCAGTGAAACTGTCGGTGTTCTGCTCAGTGGCCTGGAGATGGGACCCCCTTTGATTAGAAGATGTCATAGATTGAAAGGTGAGCACTTCAGGCTAATAAAATCTGGGCTGCATTTGCTTTCACTTGCTATCACTAGCCAAGATGGCTACAGCTTCACAGGCTCCCAGTGAACTAGATCTTTTTTTGTTCTTTTTGTTTCTGTTTTAACTTGTTTTTTTGCGACTACAATGCACATCCGCAGTACAGGATATGACCGCGACACACTTGTGGAGTTTTCTGTGTCGCTGCCTTGCCATCGTGTCGTCATGGTTCAGTCCTTCCAGTCTCGGGCTCAGGCCTGCCATGGCAACTGTCTACATGATCCTCCATCGGGGAAACCTGGATGTTCTACATCTGCCGGACCCGGTTCAGGAGGGCAGTCTGGGAGGCAGCTGCTGTGGTTCTTTTTATCATCAAGCTGCTGAAGAGACCTGCTAACAAGACCTGCTAATGCTGCTAACCAAAGCACACCGCAAGGATTTAATTTGTAAACTGATTGATGCTGGAACATAAATAGCGGGTGGTTCGGCGTGTGCGTGTGTGTGTGTGTGTGTGTGTGGGGGGGGTCTGTGGGTCCTCCCCCAGAAAATTTGGAACAAAAGAGATGCCATTTCCTGCATTTTGGTGTATTTTACCATGTTGTTAAACATCTTTGTTTACCTACATTTGGAAACATTTGATTAAATTGAAACAGGTCTCTCTTGTAAATGAGACTAACAACCTGTAGAAATAAAGGTTCAATTGAAATTACTATTTTAGAGAGCTAGAAGAAGTCTGTGAATAGAACAGCTCTGATTTTGTCAAACATCCTACCCCCACAACTCAAATCTCTGCCCCTAAAAGTCCAAAGTCATCGCACATTTTTATTTTGATTATTTATTAAAAATACAACGAGAGGAGATGTTGCCCCGTCTGTGGAGTGGATGTCCCATGCTCCTGCCCAGCAGAGACGCGGACTGCATGTCCCGCGAGGAGCGTCTTCATCCACCTTCAGCTGTGTGTATATGTCTATGTGCAGGAGTTCCCACACATCAGCAGCTGTGCGCGCTCTGGAGAGCTGTCTGGAGACGCTCCTGTGCGTAAAACATGCACAGTCCGCAGGGCGCAGCTGAAGCATGAAGACGCTCCCCGCTGGACATGCGGTCCACGTCTCTGCTGGGCTGGAGCAGCTGCGTGAAGCTGACACCTGACCCCACCATCAGCTTCGCCCAGCTGGCAGGAGCGTGCGCGAGTTGGTGCGCGTAGTGCGGCAGGAACATTCACTCCACAGACGGGGCAACGTCTCCTCTCGTTGTATTTTCAATAAATAATCAAAATAAAAATGCGCGAGAACTTTGGACTTTTAGGGGCGGAGATTTGCCGGATCCGAGGAAACAGTTGCTGGAACACAGTCGGTCAGAATGAGGCAGTTCCCGGATCTTGTTCCGGCAGGATCCGGCTCAAATCAACCACTGCACTCTGCTAACAGTACCATGGTTCCATCAGAACCATGTTGCTAAGATAATGTCACTGTCATCAGAACCACTCTGCCAATAGGACCCTGTAGACTTATTTATTTTTCACTTGTGGCACCTTCTTTCTGTATTTTTGTTGCATGCTTTGAATAAATCTCAGTTTATGCTCATTTTGGAGCTCCAAGCCTGATTCTGTTTGCATCAAGCGTGTAAATTATAGCCGAACAGAATCTATGAGAATCGTGCTGCAGCTGTTCGGTGTATTGTTTTGCACTATCAGTGACTAACATATAGCTTACATCTTGTTCTATAACTGGGAGCCTGTGTACACAATTTCATTCCATCTCATGTATCACATGTGACGCAAATGACAATAAAGAACCTTAAATCTTTGAATCCTTTTCTTTTTACAGTAAGACGGTTTGCCTGAATCTTCACGTTGAAAATTAAACTTGGTCAGAAACTTTTCTTGGTGTGTGGACTTTTGGTCCAGCACCCATTCCAGAACATTTTTAGATATGCATGTCATTGTTTTTAAAATTTTGTGCCATGATTTTAGTTTTTTTTTTTTTTTTTTATAAACTGCACATTTTTGCAGTAGTTTCTAAGTAAAGGTTATGTGGTAGCTGGAATCTAATTTGCAACGAGGAAAACACCAGAATATCTTGTGTCGTTTTTGGAAGTTCTCAATTTCTTGATTGACGTCTTGCTTGTTGTTTAGTTGCAAACTTCAAGAATCAGTAAGGTTGCAATAGAAAATTTGCATATTTTCTCACAATTTTGAGTCACCAACTAGTTTCAACAGTCTCGATCCAGAAAGATACTACCTTAAAGTGTTGGACAGAAAGATACTACCTTAAAGTGTTGGACAGAAAGATACTCCCTTAAAGTGTTGGACAGAAAGATACTACCTTAAAGTGTTGGACAGAAAGATACTACCTTAAAGTGTTGGACCCAATTGGAAGATGTGTTTGGAACAAAATACTGTAAGTTTGTATATGCCTTATAAAATCTAAGAAACTGAAATGATATGTAATTTCTTTATACCAAGATTGTGTATATTACAGACATTTTCTTTGTTTGATGAATTAAAATAATTTATACCTGAATAATTTTATAGAAAAGTCCTTACCATTGATGGGATACAGCTCCAAGACTCCGCCCATGTCTGGCTGCTCAGTACCAACCAGCTTCAGAATAGCAATGTGCCTCAGACCTATGACGTCACACACACACATACACACGCAAAGACAAAAACGTATTAGATGCCACCCAACCAGAGGAAAATGCAGTGTTCACTTGTACGCACTAAGTGTACCTGTACAGTAAATACCAGGATCAAACAGGTCGTCAGCCTAAAGCAGCTCTGGGTTCTTAACGCATCAAGAGGAAAAATAAGATCTCCACACAACCTCAAGTGAACAAGACATGCCATCTTCCTGCTATCATGAGTCGTCCTGATTAAAACATTTAATAGTGTTGTTCACTTTGTAATAAATTTTGGGCAGACATTTAGGACTTGTGTGAAAATGTGATTATATTTTAGATCAGGTTTATGCAGAAATACAGAAAATTATAAACAGCTCACAAACTTTCAAGCATTAAGTGAAAATGCCCAAATTGTGCCCAATTAGGCCTTTTCTCTCCCCGGTGTCACGTGACTCGTTAGTGTTACAAGGTCTCAGGTGTGAATGGGGAGCAGGTGTGTTAGATTTGGTATTATCGCTCTCACACTCTCATACTGGTCACTGGAAATTCAAGATGGCATCACCTCATGACAAATAACTCTCAGAGGATCTGGAAAAAAAGAATTGTTGCTCTGCATACACATATGAGTGCTGCTAGCATTGAAGCAGAGATTGAAGGTTCACTATGGCGGGGGATCTGTACCCGAAGCCCAAGGCCGGATCTACCATACGGGCAATCTGAGCACGTGCCCAGGTGCCCTTGGCACAGAGGGGCCCTCTGTTGGCAGAATTTTTTTTGCCGCAACAAACAACAGGCACTCTGACTCCCGTCATCTGTGGGATACAGCACCATGAGGGAGGACGGTGAAGCTGCTCACAATAACAGTCGCGATAGGGAAGAGTGAATTTCCGGTTTTCAAAATAAAACACAAAACCCAATAAAATTCACATATCTCACGTTATTCCTGGTGCTTTTAACTTCCGGTCCAACACGGGAAGTATCAGTGATAGAACGGACCGCAACTTTTTTTTAAGTTATTTGCATTCAGTTTATTAAAGCAAAAGTTTTTGTTTAAACGTGAAGTTTACTAAAATGTCCTACCGGGGTTCAGATCCTGCTGTGCTGTTTGTGGCTGCACAAACAACCAGACCAAGCTAAGACTACTGCAAACAGTGTTTTGAACACGGACACAAAACAAAAAAAGATTGTTCCTGTGATGCGTTATGGTTTCCATCTCCTACTACAGCTGAGGAATTAAGAAGAATGTGGCTGAAAAATCTAAATTTGAAGAAACCACCCAAAACGCTGTTTCTGTGCTCATTTCACTTCGTAAACAAACGGCCGACGGACTTTCTGAGTTTACACTCACTGAGTTTACACTTCATATCCTGCCTACAAAAAAGAAAAAGTCCAGAAAGAATAACTAAAGGTAAGAGCCATTGCACTTTCTGTGAAGTGAGCAGACAAATACAAACCGTCTGTTGTGATTGTGCAGATAATACAGGTGCTGGTCATAAATTTAGAATATCATAAAAAGTTGATTTATTTCAGTAATTTCATTCAAAAAGTGAAACTTGTATATTATATTCATTTATTGCACACTGACTGATATATTTCAAATGTTTATTTCTTTTAATGTTGATGATTATAATTGACAACTAATGAAAACCCCAAATTCAGCACAGAAAAATAGTTTATTACTTAAGACCAATTAAAAAAAAGAAAGTTTTTAGAAATGTTGGCCAACTGAAAAGTATGAGCATGTACAGCACTCAGTACTTAGTTGGGGCTCCTTTTGCCAGGATTACTGCAGGATTATATATATATATATATATATATATATATATATAATATATATATATAAAGTAAAATTGGTGTTAGGTTAGGGAGGGGGCCCCTGTGAGCTTCAGTGCCCAGGGGCCCCTGGGGTTGCTAATCTGGCCCTGCTGAAGTCCCGCCATGAGTGAAAAACCGCAAAGTAGGAATAGTAGTACAAGTAGTAAGTAGTGGTTTATTTTAGTATATAACTTATATATATGTGGGGGTGGCTGTGGCTGAGTGGTTAGAGCAGTCGTCCTCCAATGCGAGAGTTGGGGGTTCGAATCCACCAGCAGTCACATGCCGAAGTGTCCCTGGGCAAGACACTGAACCCCTCATAGCCTCCGATGTGTGTCCCATCGGCGTTTGAATGTGATAAATCACTGATTAGTCTCTTTAGAATGATTTGTTCAATTAGCTTTGTAAAGATCTAGTAGAGCTGTATGAATGGGTAAGTGAGGCACAGATTGTAGTGTAAAGAGCTTTGAGTATCTTGAAATAAGATAGAAAGGCGCTATATAAGTACAGTCCATTTACCATTTATACTATATATACAAACCGGATTCCAAAAAAGTTGGGACACTACACAAATTGTGAATAAAAACTGAATGCAATGATATGGAGGTGCCAACATCTAATATTTTATTCAGAATAGAACACAAATCACAGATCAAAAGTTTAAACTGAGAGAATGTGAACCTGCCAGCACTCTCGGCCACGCCCACTTCTCTGCTGCAGTGTGGGGATATAAGCTGCAGGAGGGAGCTTCTCCTGCAGTATGGGTTGCACAAAGATGCAGCAGGTGCTAAATAATTTAAAATAATTCATTTCAAATAAAAATTCCATATCGATAGTGCAGCTCATCCATCAATCAGCCAATTGTGTGTCATGTCTAATCTTACATTGAAAAACTGCGATAGAGCGAGTCTGTGAAAAACGAACCACGAAGTAGCGACGGACTACTGTATATCTTAGATCCTTATTTACTGTTTTTTTTTATACTTTATATTTTTGCTATTGTTGGATGCAACTTGGACCCTGTGTACACAATTTAGTTCCACCTCATGTAAATGGTAAATGGACTGTACTTGTATAGCGCCTTTCTGTCTTATTGAGATACTCAAAGCGCTTTACACTACAATCTGTGTCCTCATTTACCCATTCATACAGCACTCTACTAGATCTCTACAAAGCTAATTGAACAAATCATTCTAAAGAGACTAATCAGAGCTTTATCACATTCATACACTGATGGGACACACATCGGAGGCAACGAGGGGTTCAGTGTCTTGCCCAGGGACACTTCAGCATGTGACTGCTGGTGGATTCGAACGCCCAACTCTTGCATTGGAGGACGACTGCTCTAACCACAGCCGCCTGCACTCAGCCACAGCTGCCCATGTACCACAAATGATGCGAATGACAATAAACTTGAACTTGCACTAGAAGGGGTGGGGGTCTGACTGTCATTGCTCACACCATACGCTGCACACTGCAAACTGGTCTGCTTGGCTGTCATCCCAGAAGGAAGTCTTTTCAAAAAATGATGCACAAGAAAGCCCACAAACAGTTTGCTGAAGATGAACAGTCTAAAGACATGGATTACTGGAACTGTGGTCTGATGAGACCAAGATAAACTTTAGTTCAGATGGTGTCAAGTGTGTGTGACAGCAACCAGGTGAAGAGTGCTACAGTGAAGCATGGTGGTGGGAGTGTCATGGTTTGTGACTGCATGAGTGCTGCTGGCTATGGGGAGCTACAGTTCATTGAAGGAACCATGAATGTGAACATGCACTGCGACATACTGAAGCAGAGCATGAGCCCCTCCCTTCCAAATCTAGACCACAGAGCAGTATTCCAACATGATAATGACCCAAACACACCTCCAACTCTAATGACCACCACACTCAGAAACTCACCCAGATTGCAGGCCTGGCTGCTCAGAGAATAGAGCTGCTGCTGGTAGAACCACTCCTCATCGCTGGGGGCAGAGATGACAAACAGGCGGCGTCTCCATCGAAACCTGTAATCAAAAACCGTTTCAGTCTAAATCAAAGTGGCACTTTAGAGCTGCCCTGAAAGCTCTGAGCAACTTGCACTTGTGCTCAACATACGATTAGTGAAAGAGGATGACAACCCCAAATTATGGTCATAAACCTTCTTCTTTCTGGAAATAGAATTTTCTATGATCTCCATGGAGACAACAAAACAGTCTACTTTAGATATCTTGTAAAAGTATGTGACGACAGTGTTTCAGGCTGCAGAAACTGCAGGGTGGTACTTTCTGTTTGTTACAAACACACAGCTGCAATGTGCTCAAAGTCCCTATATGAGTAGAGGGGAGTCTTACCTGGACAAAAAGTTTTCCAGTGACCGGGGCTTGTCCTCCTTTTTACAGGTGACCCCATCCCTCTTCTGCTGCTCCATTTCCCGGATGCGAGAGGAAAACATGTCGATGGAGTCGAACACGGCCTTCATGGCGATGGGAACCTCATAGTTTTGCTGGTCAAATAAGAACATCAATAAGATTTAGACATATTCTGGCAAAAGTCATTCCAAACAAGAACCCACAATGTAAATGATCCAATACACTTTTAAAAAAAATACAGAAGCAGCATGTAGAATATTAAAATATAATTCTACTGCCGTAAATAACAAGTGTTTCCCCGGAAGTTTGGAGGCCGTTTGTGAACGAGGAGTGAATTTTTTCATTTCCCAAACTCTGCAACAACTTCTTGGAAACAGCTTTGGGCATGTTACCCAAACATAACACTTTGTCAGAGTACAAGAGAGTTTCATTTATTAGTATCATTTAAAAAATTCTAAGGACTAAAAAAATGTTTAACACATTTATGAAAACATGACACACAATCTCGCACATATTCTTTGGATTATGCTGAACTTGCTTGTTCTCCTTCACACCTCTGTCTCTCACCTCTTTCTGTCTCCAACAGCCCCCCCCCCCCAGACCCCCCCCCTTTCCCTCCCCCCCCCCCCCCCCCCCCCCCCCCCACACACACACACTCACACACACACACTCACAGACTACCCTGTCTGTGCTTCTGTTAGCAAGGGATGTGAATACTGGCCTCTTTGATGAACCTGTCCAAAAGCAACCTGCTGATTTACTCTAGTATGTGCATGAGCAAACACACGTATATACACACACACACACACACACACACACACACACACACACATGCAGCTGCTGTGCAAATGTCAAGTTTGTGAATTGAAGCAGTGTTTTAGTTTAGCCACTGAGCTGGCAGCGTGAGGACAGGTCACCTATAAAGAAAAACAGAAAAGGCTGAATATTATGAACTTAGCACTGTTTGTTCTTCACAGCTTTAAAATCCAACAATATGAGCAAGAACGTGGGTCACCAAGAGCTTATAGAACTAGTTCTACTCTGGTAAATATTCTATACTTTTTTTAGTTCAGTTCAACCTTTAGTTATATGTTAGTCTCATAGACCTCGACGCTCAATGAGACTAACTTGTATAAATAAACATTGAATTGAAATTGAGCTCCAAGGACTCATTTACAAGAGAGACCTGTTTTTAAAAAAGAACACAAGACGACAACAGTAGACAATGTAAAAAAGCATAAAATGAAAAGAAAATGGAAGAAATTATATAAAAAAGAAACAAAACCAGCTACATTATAAAACAGTGTAAAATACTAAAAACAGGAACATGTCTGCGTTGGTTGTTGCCATGAGCTTAGCAGTTGTTTAAAATCACTTAGAGAGTTCAAGATCGAGAGCTTCAGATGTTTTTGCAAGGTGTTCCAGGTTATAGGAGCGGAGTAGGAGAAGGCCCTTTTGCCTAGTTTGGTTCGTACTGAGGGTACACTGCAGGTAATAATGTCCTGAGAGCGCACGCTGTAGCTGAACTGTAGCTATAGTTCCCATCCTTTTCAAAGAAACTCCTAAGAAATCACACACTTCCAGATAGATACCAGTAGATGAACCAACAGAAATACCACTGTGTTTGTCAACAGCACTATCACAAATCAGGGACTGGATGCTTTAGCATGTTCTCTTCAAAGTACATTGCTCTTGGCTTGTCCTTTAGGCCCCCGTCATACAGGTTGATGACCCCACTATATGACTAGCCAGAATGTGGATGGTCTTTGCAGGGACTTAGTGTGGAGTATATTAAGAACTCACTTCTCATTACGTGTGACAGAGCACAATAGGTTTGTGATGATTTTGAGCATGCACAAAACTTCCTTTGTGCACCAAAGTCCATGGACTTTGTTGTTTTGAACCAGTTTGACATGACTGTCGATGAGGGAGAGGGTGAGCACCAGAGAAGAGGGCGTGTCCCAGAAACCATCTTAGCACCAACATAACTGTGTTTTTCTACTTTGGAATAAGTTGTTGGGGGAGAATCAGTTTTGTATGGTGTTTCCTCAGACTGATGAAGCACTTCGGATGGAGGGTGAAACGTCTCAGCACACAAAAAAAGAAACGATCCAGATTCCTTTGTGCAGTTTTAGTGGTTTGTCATCCTGCTGGGAGCATTTTAATGTCTTGAGTGGAGCATGGGCGAGCATGCAGGTGCTTGGTGGCAGTGTATCCATGATGTTGGGCCCACACCCACTGGTGTAGGTTGTTCATGGAGAAATTGAAGAACAACCAGTTCGCTGCCTCCACATGCTTACATTTGCAGATAAATTTGTTGGTGCCTTTACACAATAAAAACAAAACTAGCCAAAAACCTAGTTTTACCTCATCAGTCTCCAAAACTTTTCCAAGAAGAAAAAGAAAAGAAAATTTAAATGTTGAATTTTGAGGTGTTGCTCGTAATGATTTCTGTATTTCTCTGTGTTTAATATCAGGTTTATCTAACAAAGTTAAGTCAGGTCCTCTGGATGTTTTTATTTATTTGTTGTTGTTGTTGTTGAAAAGTTTTTGCCTCAAACAAGTCAGTGAGGGAGAGGGTGGACTCCAGAAACCATCTGAGCACCATCAAACTGGTTGACCCACTAAGGTGCTATTTATAAGACTGAGTTTGTTGCAGCTCCTTAGACTGAAGAAGTCATTTGGATGAAAGACGAAATGTTTCAACAAAAAGAACCCGTCCGGAATACTGAACATGAATCAGGATAAGACCAAGTTGGTATTTTTTTTTTTTTTTTTT